CTGGGATGGTCAGCTTCCCCAGGGCACAGACAGCAGTGGGAAACAGTAAGCAATCCTGAACACCAGCTCCACCAGTAAGCAGTCTCTAAAGTCTGGAGAAAGTCTGTTAATCCTCAGTAATGCCTCACACAGGACACAGGACACTTCTAGGCCTTTCTGGCCTTCCATTTATACTGTTTATTCTACCCCAGCCCAGGTTATCCCCACCCACACACACGGGTATAGGAGGCGCACAGAAGAAAAGAGGGCCTTGCTTACATACACACACATATACATACTATACATAATACATACATACATACCTACATATATGGACACACACACATACACACACCCTAAATGACCCAAATGCTTATGACATGCATCCTAAAATGTCAAAATCCTTCCTCTACCTGATTTAGACCTACTTCACCAAAATGATAAGCATGCAAGCCTTCAGACTACAGCAGTTAAAAGTCTTATGTGAACTAATGTAAGATTTGATTGCCACCTAGTGGGAGAGAGAGAAATAACACACGGTAACTATAGAATAACATCTAAACTCTCATCCTGCAGCCACACTATTTCCCAGATGTGACCTAGCTGGGATATATGGCCATGTAAATTAGAAACGCAAACGCTTTACTGTCCTCATTTTACAGACACGGCTGAGGCTAACTGAAGCCTGGTGTGAAAAGGCGAACAGACTGTTAAGAAGTTTCAAATTATACTATATACATGCTATGTGGATGGCATTAAAGTAGCACCCACAGGAGCACCCTTGCAATCGCTAAGTGGGATCTTCTACGGTGTCTCTGGGTTTTACTTACAGCTAAGAGTGGGAGAGCCAGCATCTCAGCAGAAACTATGTTTCATAGTACACATTTTTTCCTCATCAAACAGTTTCTGCTTTCTCAAACAGGAATTATTCCACAAGCAAAAGCACTATGGACTGCTAAGTTTTTACAAGTGGTTGCCTTCCTTCATACCTGCTTACCAGTTACGCCAGGATTGAAAATAGCGGATTCCTTCTTTTGACAAGTTTCATTATAGAAAAGGTATTTCCATTTACTCTACCCTGTTAAATTGTCAAGGAGCTGAACTCAGCCAACTTATCGTAATGGAATGCACTTTAATGACCTATGCCTTATTGTCATAGTGGTCAATTATTTATCACAGAACTTAGAAGTTTCAAGAGAACTCTTAGCATCCAGTCAGCACTTACTAGCGCTTATAGTCACTAATATTGGGTTATACAAGTAAGGCTCAATTAGGAATTTCTCTGTTTCTTCTAGTAGCCACTACTATTGGCAAGAATAATTTTCTAGTGTGATAAACTTCACACTACCATCTTTAGCTATGAGAGAAAATGAAAAATAGTAACAATATCATCATGACCAGTGCTCAGTAATCTTTCTTATCTCCTAAGCTGGGAATGGCTGCAACTCTTGGCTAGACTAGGATTCTGCTGGCAGGGATGCCAGCGTCAATGGGATTGGTGTTGGGTTTCTGCCAGCTCTATTCACCAAACTACCGTACCCCACCAGCACAATTCACCAAACTACCTTACCTGAGCTGCTCAGTTTCTAGTCACCTCTGCTCCCCCAGACTTCATTTACACATACTGCTGTCTTTTCCACAATGTAGTGATTTATTTATACATAAATGGTGGGCATACTATACATACTGTTCTGCATTTCCTTTATTTCTTTAACAAAATAAGTTGAAGAGTTGTTCCATTTTGATATATCTTAAAGCCAACTCCTTTGTATTAGATGAACAATATTCCATTGTATGAATATGCCATAATTTAGTTTTTCAGTTCTGGAAGAAAAGGCATTTTTAGTTGCTTTCAGTGTTAGCAACTTGTACAACCCTGTACATACATCATTTGACACTGGGAACCAGTGTGTGTAGTAGTAAGATTGCTGATACAGCAACTTCAGAGCTGCCTGCTGGTAATCGGGAGCAGGATCACACTACATTTGTGGATTAAAGTGTGTTTCCTTGTAGGTGCACATGTGTGTGCGTCTGTGTGTATGTGTGTGTGTCTACTTCATCTGCTTCCACTTTTAACTTTTTTTTTTCTTTGAGATGGTCTCTCACTGAACCTGGAGCTCATCAATTTGGCTAAGCTAGCTAGCCAATGACCTCCAGATGTCAACCTGTCTCTGTCTCCCTGGTGTAGTGATTACAGGGACACACCAGAGCTCCTAAATTTTACATGGGTGCTGGAGGTCCAAATTCAGGTGCTCGTGTTCATGTGACAAACACATTACCAACAGAGCCTCTCCCCTAGATTAAAATTTAAAAAGTATTACCAGGAGTAGAGTGACTTTCTTTATGTCATATTTTACTGATATTGATGTGTGTGTGTGTGTGTATGCAATATACACATTCAACATTTCTAAATGAGGGTACCTCATAATCTTTAACATGTCTTAATCACTGCTGACTGGGTGGTAGTGGTGGCGATTTCTGGCGTCAGCCCTGGCCTTTCAGTCAAACCACTGAAGAAGCATCCGAGGAAGATTGGGAATCACATGTGAGAGGACCTCCCATGATACATTCTGGGACAACCACGACAGTGCAAGTGTGGAAACCTGCAGGCGGCCTCTGCTGCCCAGGAAGCTCAAAGGGGCTGCATCGGTCTCCACGTCTGTAGGCCACAGGACAGTTCTGCACTGGGGTTGGGGTGAGGCGTGGAGGGTTGGGGCACACCACCTGTCTGATGACTCTAAATGGAAAACTGACCCAGAAGAATCAGGTTTCCTAAGCGTGATGTTTCAATACTATAATACAATATCCCTTTTCCTGTTTTTCTTTTTTTATTTAAAAAATATTTTTCATTTTACATACCAACCGCAATCCCTCCTCCCTTCCCCTCCCCCTTTCGACCCCCCATCCACTCCTCAGAGGGGGTAAAGGCCTCCCTTGGGGAATCAACAAAGGCTGGCATACCAAGTTGAGGCAGGACCAAGCCCCTGCCCCCAATATCAAGGCGGAGCAAGGTGTACCATAGGGAACAGGCTCCATGCACCCAGGGTAGGTCCTGCTGCCCCTGGCAGGGCTCCTCCCCCGCCCCTCAGCCCAACAGATCAAGCCACACAACTGTCACCCACACTCAGAGCGTCTATTCGGTCCCATGCAGGTTCCCTGGCTGTCAGTCCAAAGTCCGTGAGCTAACCAATGCACTTTGTCTATATTACTGAAAATAACAAATATGGCCAAGAGTTCTTTCAGTGAATACAAAGCAAACATTCCAAGTGCAGTTTTCATATATATATATATGTGTGTGTGTGTGTGTGTGTGTGTGTGTATCACATAGACCCATTGTGTTTGTGTGTGTGTTAAGTTTTTTGAAATGATCTTTTTTTTTTTTTTTTTTGTCTGAAAGAATGTCTGTGCGTTATGTTCATGCCTAGTACTGAAGGAGGCCAGAGAGGGTGTCAGATCTCCTGGGATTGGAATTACATACAGATGGTTGTGAGCCGCCATGTAAGTGCTAGGAATCAGATCCCAGGTCCTCTAGAATGGTCAGTGCTCTTAACCATTGAGCTCTCTCTCTCCATCCCCTTTTTGTATATTTTCATTCTATCTATCTATCTATCTATCTATCTATCTATCTATCTATCATCCATCCTATTCTGTTGAAGACAGGGTCTCACTATGTAGCTCTGGATGTCCTAGAATCCATTCTGTAGACCAGGCTGGCTTTGAACTCAAAGAGATCAGCCCACCTCTACCTCACAAGTGTTGAGATTAAAGGTGTGCACCACTATGCCCAGCTTTGTATAATTTAAATATAATTCACAATCAATAGCATCTCAGGTTTGATGAAATACTGCAAATCCTATTTTACATCTTTCAGGAACATTTTAGTTTTCCCATAGATTTTGTACAATCCTGTTGAAACTACTTAAAGTATATTTTCTATTTTTCTTGCTAATTTTCTCACCAGAAGGCTATTTATCTTAAAATTTCTTTTATGTTTATTTGTTTATCCAGTATGTATGTACACTCGAGTGCTATTGTGCATATTTGGAGGTCAGAGGACAACTTACACTGAGTAAGTTCTCTTCCTCTATCATGTGAGTCCTGGGCATCTAAATCAAGAAGTCAGGCTTAGAGGCAAATGCCTTTTCCTGCTAACCCATCTTGCTAGTTCCTTGGTTTTGTTTGTTTGTTTATTTTTAAATAGACAAGGCATCACTGGGTAGCCGCATTGGCCTTAATCTCCAAACCCTCCTGCCTCTGCCTCTTGAGTGCTAGATGATAGGTGTGTCCCATCATTTTTGATCTTATTTTTGCCTATTTTGTAAGTAACCACTTTGGGTATGTATGCCTACAACTATGCACGTGCATGGGAGCCAGAGGAAGGCAATGGTCTTCTCATCGACCTGGAACTCATGTCTTTTGGATTAGGCTGGCAGCCACCAATCCTACTGATCCTCCAGTCTCTGCCTCCTACATACTGGCGTTTAAAGGCGTGCATGGGCTCACATGCAGCTTCTGTGGCTGCTGGGATGCAGTCTCAAATCCCCATGTTTGCAGAGAAGCATCTTACTGCAGCTCCTTTCCACCCAGTGACTACTTTACTGAACTCACTGCTACATTTTTTCCAGGAGACTTTTTTTTTTTTTAAGTTTCCAGTTATAAATTGAAAGATTATTTAATCTCAAATTATTTTACATTATCTGCAGGCATTTAAAGTCAACAAAGGCAAAGACTATCCCTTTTCTATCTCTAGCATCTGATTACTTTGCATGAAGTGGGTAATCGACACATAGCTGAGTCAATTTCATAAATGCATCCTACTTGAATAAAACAGACCTGTTGAGTTTAATCCAAAATACAAAACTATGTAAATTAGGAAACAGTGTTCGTATCATCATATACACATATATCTATAAGTCTGTAAGAAAATGGGTATTGCATTACCAATTCCATTGATTTATGGCTGTAACTTATTATGTCGTAACTGGAAGCTTTAACTATGAGATAGATGCACCAAGTCTTACCTTTTCGATCTTAGATCTGATGAATCAAACTGGATATTCATGGGTCCAGGATTTACTTCAAGGTCTCCTTCAGCAATAAGATGCCTAGAATCACTATCCACACTTGCCATTTTTCTCAGATTCTAGGCACTGAGGAAGTTAGTCCTAAAACACAGGAAAAAGTTAATTCAGTTTAATCTTAAAAACATCTTGCTATTTTATTATATTTGCATGTAAAAGAAATCAGAAAGTATGGGAATTTGCAGAAGGTATCATTTTTGAAGATGGTTCACTGTTACCCAGGTTGGTCTATAACTCTTAGGCAAGCCTTGGATTATAGATATAAAGCCATCATGACTTAAATGAGGTCTACGATTGGTATATTTATCAGAAATATTACCAATTTGAAATTTCTGAATTTTTGGCTTACATTACAGTTATTTGGACCCAACCCCAGAAAAGAATATTTAAAAAGCCATTTGAAAAGCTTAAAAAGGAGGGAGTGAAGTCAGATGAGTTGACAGCAGAGAAAAGAAACATTGGAACAGCTGCAGGGAATGGCTGCTTTATCCGAATTTGAGCTCTTGTCTTCAAAGCCTTGAGACTTAGGGCAATAGAGACTATGAGAGTTCACTATCAGAGTAGAGTACAAGCAGCAAATGAGCTTTACTCTCTTACAAGGAAGCTACGTTTTCTTAGTGTCTCACCTCAGGTGGTATGAAGATAAAACAGCAGCTATAGGAAGTCCATAGACTTAAGCATGTCAGTTTCTACAGTAATACTTGTAGTGCCTCTCAATTTATACTTGAACATTCACGGGCACCTTTAAATGGAGGTAATCACTACTCAAATTTGGCAAGTTCCAAACTTGACTTTTTTCCCTCAGAAAACCATAAACATATGCTTTTCTAACTTCAATCTGTGGAGTCTTTGCCCTTCTAATGGCTCTAGTCAAAATTCTTGGAATCATCTGCTTTTTTTCATTCCCAGCATCTAACCTATCATGGCATCTTACTGCTTTTCCTTTGTGGATATCCATAATCAGACTATCACCATTTCTTACAAAGTTACAACTGTTTTCTTTTATGACAATGTACTATTTTTTTAATCACTACTGGTATATATGAAGTTTTACTTTAAAATGCTTAAAATGTATTATGCTCTCATCCTTGGATACTCTTGAAAACAGGATTTTGGGGAGGTCAAAAGTAGAGTCTAGCCAGGCGTTGGTAGCACATGCCTTTAGTCCCAGCACTCGGGAGGCAAAGGCAGGTGGATCTCTGTGAGTTCGAGGCCAGCCTGATCTACAGAGCTAGTTCCAGGACAGGCTCCAAAGCAATACAGAGAAACCCTGTCTCGAAAAACAAAAACAAACAACAACAAAAAACTATACCATCTTTCTCATCGAATTAGATCAGAATTTTTATTATATTAGATTGCAGGAATCTCTCACAGGCATTATAACATAAACCAAAATGTTACTATTCTGTTATACTCTAGAACAGCCTATTTGCTCAAATACATTTTGTTTACTTTATTTTCATTGAAAAATCATGACCTGTGCCATTAAAATTATCTAGAATCACAGTCTGTATTTCAGTAAGAGCAACATATGGACTCTAAGCAAATGTCCAGTTCAGAAAAAGATTGTAAAGAACTTCGGCTGCACCCTCTCTTCAGTTGGGCTCCCCAGACAATATTTAATGAAAACAGACAAAGAACTACAAGGGCTGAGTGGAGCTCCCTGCTGCCACCATTGTCCCAGAGGCTATCCTACCCCGGGGAGCATACAGAGAGATGTTTGCTACCCCGGGGAGCATACAGAGCAATGTAGAAAGGAATCTGACATCATTCAATTACCTGGTGCGATTGGGGGGAGGATGTGTGTACTGACATAAAGGCAAGGCTGCTTAACATCTAACAAAGCAAGGCACAGCTTCCTCCCAAGAAGTTATCTAGGCAAGATAGCATCCTCTCTGAGGCCGAGAGGACAAACTAGAGGGGCGGGAAGAGGCTGTAACGGGAAGACAGGAAATCTTGTAATGGCCATGTTCAACTGCTTCAATCGAATTCTAGTTACAGGGATATGCCCGCCCGCCCGCCCGCCCGCCCGCCTGTGTGTGTGTGTGTGTGTGTGTGTGTGTGTGTATGTGTGTGTGTGTGTGTAATGCAACTTTCTGTATGATTATTTCACTATAAAATGCAAAGAACACATAAAATGAAACTGACTGAGTGCTGCAAAAACAATTGTTACTGTTAGTATTGTCATTCTGCACAGAAAGACACAGGGAAGCAATCATGGAATGTGAGAACTGAGATAGTCCAAATCCGAGCTGCTCTCTTCCCCTCCACGCTGGGTTGTCTTCCCTGGGTGCCTGCCCACCCCACCCCCCTCGCCTTCCATCCTCTCCCGCTTCCTGTGACCGTGGACACGTTCCCCACTTGTTTAGTGGACTCTTCCGCCGACTTCTCCCGTCCCCCCCTCCTTCTCCCCACCTCCCTCATTCTCCCTGGTGATGAGTACAGGACTTCACAAGTGCTAGGCGCTTGCGTTTCTATGTATTTCTATTGCACAGATGCTGGCCACGCGCTCCGTTCCCCAAATACATGCATGTCTTACTGTTCTTTCCCCTTTCACTTCCCTATTGGGTTCTTGCTTTTCTGCCCAATGTGTGAGCCAGCTAAGTCGTCATTACTACTGCCAAAGACGAGCAAACGCTAAAGAAACACATCCAACAGCATCTTACAAGAGTCACCTTTCAGAGACTGGAAGGCACAGACAAATTAGCTCAGCGGCAGAGTGCTTCACAGTATGTGAGAGACCCTGTGTGCGATCCCCGGCACCACAGAAAGGGAACAAAGATAGGAGTGAAAATAACTATTTCACTTCCACACACTATAAGGGTTAGAATGGCAGAAATTACTAAGACAGCCAAAATACTAAGAAATGGTAAGACCTGAGCATAGCCATTCAACAAGTGCTTGCTGGGAACCTACAATGTAAAGAGGTTTTGAGAAAAATAGAAAGTTATGCCCCATTTCCTACCATCAATAAATTAAAAAATACAATATACAAAGCTGAGAGAATAACCATAAATCTCTTACGAGCTAGCCCAGGAGCATGAAAATCTAATGACAATTTTCAGTTCATTATTTCAGTTTTAGCTCAACTCTATACCAATCACTGGCCCTTGTTTCCAAACCAGCTTAAGAAGAGATCAGTGAAAGATTTATTCAAGTTATATCCTGGCTACTGTGAACAGTGCTTCAACAACCATGAATGTGCAAAAACAAAACCAAGCAAGATTTATCCCAGGTTAAAAAGTGTTTTCAATGGACTCTGAAATTGTACGCTTTCAAATGCAAAGTTAAAAAACACTCTTTTGCAGTGATTCCCAACCTTCCTAACGCTGTGACCCTTTAACACACTTCCTCATGTTGTGGTGAGCCCCAACCATAAACTATTTTGTTGCTACTTCATAACAGTAACTTTGCTGCTTTTACGGATTGTAATGCAGATCTCTGAAATGCAGGGGATCTGGTATGCCATCACTAAAGGTGTTGAGACCCGCAGGCTGAGAACTACTTACTGCTTTAATGTAAAGTATACACGGTTTGAGAGTAATTGCTACTAGAATCCCGTTGATATGGGAGTGACTGTGTCAACACTAATTTGACTAAAGTAGTTGAGATGAAAAAACAGAAGTTTGATCTATCGATTTAATTATTTATTTTGAGGCAAAGTTTCACTCTGTAGGCCTGTTGGTCTCAAATGGGCTAAGCTGCACCCAGCATGATCAAACTGGGCTCAACTAATTACTTTACAGAATAAAAGAAGTCAGCTCACTTGTTTGTTCTAAGGGAAGGCAGACAAAAGTTTTCCCCACCATCCCAGGGTCCAGTTAGACCCTCACCTGCTAAAAGTCAGATATTGCAGCAAAATGAACAACATTTACACAAAGATAATATTTTTATACAGATATTTCAAATGAGAACAGCAGTGAACTATAACTAAGGCCAAAGTGTACTTGAATATGGCCTTACTCCTTTCCAGGTGTAAACCTGCACTTTTCTGGGAATTTCACAAACAAGAATATAAACATCACTTACAATATGCCCTAATTTCCCTCGTACAACTCCTGCGACCTATGCTTTCCCTTACTGGCCTGCAAGAGAGCCACTTCACCTCAGTGGTGCGCTCTTTGAGAACGTGGCAGGCAGCCTGGTCAGTGGGGGTCTCCAGCTTCCTACTTGCTTAGTTTCTAAACTGAAGACATGCTGGAGTTCAGAGAAAATGAGTCGTTTTAGCCCTCAGAGGTTATTTTAACTAGGAATTGAATGCTACTAAGAAGAGGAGAAATTTAGGGAGGCTCTTGGATATCAGCCGGCCTTACTAAAATGAGAAGGAGATTATGGAAGATGGAAGGAACAGGAAGAAGCTGAAGATACAAATGAAATTATTTTATATCACTTAGCTAGCAAAGCCACAAAGAATGAAACAGTACCCAATGCTATGTCACAACTGACGCTAACCTACTTATATAGTGAGGACTCACATTCCAGTCTTTCCTTAATGTCAAAGTGCAAATTTGACTAATTTTAAAAGTGGCTCCTCGAGGTTATGAGTAAAAACATTCCATATACAATACCCAGGAAAGAAACATTTGTAACTAATCGGGGAAGCACAAGGGAATTACAAGCTTAGGAAAGCCTTGAACATATTGTAGCTAGTTACGTTTAGGATTCTGCTGTACTACAGAATTCTTTCAGTTGAAGAAAGTATTTCAGAAACTGAAAAGATGATTACCGGGAAAGCAGTATTGCCAACAAGAACAGCACATGGTGAAGGGGGAGGGAGGGAAAAAGAGAAACTTTGGGAAATGTATTTGGAAAAAAATCTCAAATGGATAAAAGTGTTTCTTTGAAACATGTAAAATTATATGCATAAGCATTTAGAACCATGCCAATCACTATTACTCTGTGCAATGGGATTTGCTGTTATTTGGTATAAAGAGCATATTCTGAAGTAGAAAAAGAAATAAAAAGGTTGATCTTCACAGAACTATTGAACAATCATGAACAGAATAGTACTAAAGGGAAAGAATTCATATCTAGAGAGGACAACTGCATGCCAGTTTGG